GAATAAATTCTATTTCACATTAATTAACAAAGCATTAAGTTACAGGATGGTACTGATTTGAGAATTAGCAATAGTCAAACAGTGATATAGACCCTATGCAAAAATGGCTGCCAATTTAAAATTATTTTGTATGTATCTAATTACCCTCACTAATAACTAACTAACCTCGTTTTTGAGTTGATAATTCAAAATAATTTTTACTCTAGAACGAGGTTAGTGAGGCTAATTTAAATGCTTACAAAGAAATTTAAATTGACAGCCATTTTTGCAAAGGGGCTATTGTTCAGAAAAGGTCGACAAAGTTCCAGATCAGTAGACAACTGTTTGATGTTAATGGACTGGAGAATGAAGGAATTTTGAATCTCTCGGGCTAGCATCTCTGATATTTACATCACTGGTGATAATGATGATGATGTGGTAGTTGTTCAATGCAAAACATAGTATATAATTTCTATCACTGTGGCACGTCTTGTTTGTTGCAGTCATGAGAGGTCACTTGGCATCAATCCCTTACTCACTTATACAATGAACATTGATGATGATGATGATAAAAATGACAATATATATACACACTAGATAATTCCTTCAGGACTCAAGTCGCAGAAAACACGAAAGTGGCCGTATCCACATTGCTGATAAATTAGACATAATGTCAGGAAAGCATATTAACGCACTGTTCAAGAAGTTTTTTGTACATTCCAATTCACTTGTCTGTCAGTAGACAGGCATGGGTTGCTGAGTAGGTAAAATTCCAAACCTCCTCTTCAGGGTCACTCTGTGCCGAGAGTACTTGTCATCTGGAGAAAACCGAGCTGGAAAAAGAGGACATAATGTCAACATCTTGCATAACTACATATACTAAATAAACTAACTTTTGCGACCAGATTTATTGCACTTTTCATCAAAATTTCCTGAAAGTAGTTATTCCCAGTCCATAATATGTTTGGAATCATCCAAAGACAATACATTCATTGTCAAAGCTTTGTTCTTCAAATCTGAGTCTGAATTTACAACAGGCGTGTGTGATTTATATGTACTTCAATTTCATTTCATCAATTGGACCAAGTTTACATAATGTTGGATGGTTCATTGGAGGTTTACATGCACAAGTGAGCCATGCATTAGAAATTGGTTGGTACAGTAAACTCTCTCTTAACGGACACCTCTATAAGACGGACACCTCTATAAAATGGACACCTGGTGTTGGTCCCTGTGCATTGTTTTTCAGTCATTTTACTGCATCTAAACTCTCTATAAGCCGGACACCTCTCTAAGACCGACAGTTGGTGTCGGTCCCGATGGTGTCCGTCTTAGAGAAAGTTGACTGTATGTGTGAAATGATGTGAGATCAGACACAAGACTCCCACATAATGTGTCTCCTTGGATGCTGAAAAGTTCCCCTATTTGTTTGCCTTTTATTAGCCCCGATCAACACTCCAAGAAATTGGGAGGTTCCTTGATGTATGTACTTTTTGGTTTTTTAAAAGCTTCTTCTGTTGTTGTTTCAACATTACTATTTACAAACATACCATGCTAATGTATCCCCAGGGTAGGGGCAATGGTAGCTTTTTGTGGAAAAATATTGCTTTTGGGTAAGGGGGATTTGTTTATGTCATTGTGCAAATGCCCAGGGGTTCTCTGGGTTCACCCCCCCCCCCGGGATGGCCACTGATAAGTGCATTAGTGCTACAGATTAGCACGATTTAGTGCAGCAAGCACACGATTCTGCAACAAAGTACCAAAAACATTATTGACAATATTCAAACCGTGACAACCTTTAATACAGCAAGGCGCCCAAAAGTGCGACCACTTTTAATTCATTCACATTCTTTCGTGCGTGTATACTATCCAATCAGAAGTCAAGGATATAGCTATATTCTTCAGCTTCTGATTGGGTAGTCTGCATGCACGAAAGAATGTGAATTAATTAAAAGTAGTCACACATTTGGGCACCTTGCTATAAACTCAAGTGTGTTACCTGAAACCAGCGAGAGATTTTGAAAAGATCGAAACATGGTAGCTTTTTGTGGAAAAATATTGCTTTTGGGTAGGGGGGATTTGTTTATGTCATATAACTTGGCTTGCTTGTGATAAGCTTGAAGCTTAATAGATTTCCATTTGCTGGGGCTCCCACCATATTGTATTAATATTTCGATCAGTATTTTACATAAATAAACGAACTAAAACATTACCTGGATGAGCAGACTTTGTTGGTTGACCTAGAGGATCGCTTTTCTGCAAATCGAAAGGAAAATACACGTTCTTGGAGTCATAATTAACTTAATTTGCTATAAGTTGCACGTGGATGTTTCAGAAGAAAGTGAAGTCGACATTCCAGTATGAATAGCTACAAGCAAAACGCTCACAGACAAAATCAAAGCTTTAATTTGATCCTTAGCTTACCTTCATCGTATAAATTCTCTTACCGTCGTCGTTTACATAGTACATCAAGTGCATTTTGTGTCTTTTGTCGAGAAAATCGAAGCAACAACCTCGAGAAACACCGAGAAATAAAAGCTAAGCTAGCAAAGCACGCCGGAGCACATAACATGATAACGAGGCAATGTCATATTTTGTTAAATGATTCAATAAGTAATAATAAAATGTCCCATATCACATCGTGAGCCCGGTTAGCTCAGTCGGTAGAGCATCAGACTTTTAATCTGAGGGTCAAGGGTTCAAGTCCCTTATCGGGCGTTCACTTTCTTTTTTCCTTTTTCCAAGGACATTTATAATGTTTTACTTTTCAAAACATAATTCACGAAGAAAGGATATCGGCGATAATTTGGAGAGTTTTTTTCACTAATGCAAATGCCCTGACAAAATTGATTTTGTTTTTGTTTTTTAAACTTGTACAGTGGAACCCCGCTTTTAATGCGGACAATTTTCTCTTATAAATCTGACTCAGCAGATTTGGGTTTATTGCTCACTGATTGTTTCTTTACCATATATTTATTAATTTATTTTCCGTATTAAGCTAGGGTTATTCTCATACCCAGATCTTTTCGGCAGTTTTAGGAGTGCTTTACATTGAACATTACAACAAGAAAAAATGTTCCGTTGAATTCCCATAAAACACAACTTTCGCTATTTTGCAATAATCCGGATCGGGAATCACGATGTTCAAAGACAAGCCCACATCTCAGGGCCCGCGCAGCACTTTTTTGAGTGGGGGAAGGGGGGGTGGGGGGGGGGGGGAGGGGAGGGGAATGCGAACGCGCCAACGTGAGCCATTTAGGGGGATCCAGGGGCATGCTCCCCCGGGAAAATTGTGAATTAAAGTCCTCTGAATGGCTGGAAATGCATCTAAAATCTAACAAGCGCGGTGCAAATTACCAACTTCCAGCGCTTATAAAGGCGGGACTTCACCTAAATGCCATTTTTCCGCGACTAACATATCTCGTTCACGTTTCAAGCAATCCAAAAACTCTATGCTCATCCCATGAATCTATGTCATGGGGTGTTTTGTAAATTTTTGGGTGATTTTTGGGTATATTTGAGAGGAAATAGTTTTTCTCAAAGGAGTTGTAAAATTTAGGGAAATGAGAAATATTGAAGATTTGATGTAGTTTTAAAATTAGAATTTGAAGTTAAAAATTAGTAGATTGACATTGACAGACAGTTGATACCCACGCGAGAGCACCCGCGTGGGTATCAACTGTCTGTTGGTGTTTGTTTTTTTTTCCCTTCCCTTCTTTAAACTTCTTAAAATTTCATTGAAATTTAGGTAGAATCCCCCCTTAAAAAGCGGCTGTTTTTAATACAAGAATCAAAAGCAATCAGAGATTTTGGTAGATATTTTCTTTCCAACAGCCAGAAGCCTTCGTTAATTATGCTCATTTTACCATGTGCGCTTCTCTGTTGGTTAATATCACGCAGAACTCCCGTGCCCGCGATGTCCAGAGCTGTGTATAATTCTCAGTTTAAAGTATCTACGGCGATAAAATGTTGTCATAAAAACGTTTCTCTATAAAACGCAAGATACAACTGCTCAATAGCATAAAGTCAGTCAACTCAAAGTTATCTTAACTCTTGCTATTTGTTCAGTTGTAATCGCGTCTACTTTGCTAATGGTCATTGCAACTTTTGTCCGTTGCAGATCAAAAAGAAAATTTTATCACCAACTTCCAGTAAAAAACGTTAACTAGTGAAACGACTTCTGGAAATTATTATTATTATTTTTTTAGAAAAGTGTTGGAGGGGGGGGGGGGGGGGGGGTAAAGCCCCCCAGCCCCTCCCCCTTCGCGGTCCCTGCATCTGGACACAACAGACATTTATTGTACACCGTTGAGATAAGTTTAGTTTGCGTAAATCACTGTTTGACTCGACGATTTTGTTTACAAAAATCGACGATTTGTTATTTAAAAAAAAGCACGAAATCGAAGTCGGCAGGTACCCATAGAGAGGCCTCACTAAACCAAACTGATTGCAAGGTTGGCACTACGGCAAAAGGGCTAGTTCAAACGTCGAGCTACAGTCGCGCAATTGAGTTCGACACGACAATAGCGCGACGTTTTGAACTGGGCCTTACACTCTCGTCCCACAACTCTCTGCGACTCTACCAGTATAGCTACCCAAAACGTCAGCTACTGCCGATAAAATGCCTCACTTTACGTGTTGAGCCAGATAGAGAGAGAGAGAGAACACTCTTGATCTGAGGGTCAAGGGATCACCACCCCTTGCATCTTATGAGTGATGAGCCAAACTGAATACTAAAGTCACAGAGAAAAAAATAGCAGATACCAGTCAAGACAGAGGGGTCAGTACAAAAACATGACCCCCTCCTCGCTTTTTCCTTCGTCGTTGAGATACTACATATACAAGGTGCATTTTGACGAAAAAGAGAAACACGATATTTGTGAAAATACAACCTTCGCCGCTTGAAAACGCCTGGAGCAACACAACACCATAACGAGGTAATCCTCTATTCGCTTTTCATTGTTCTTTTGTAAAACTGAATTCAATAAATACTGATAAAAATGCCCTATTCTATAAGGTGAGCACGGTTAGCTCAGTCCGGCAGAGCATCTGACGTTTAATCAGAGGGTCGGAGGTTCAAATCCTCCACCGGGTGCGCAGTTTTTTTTTGGTTCTTGTTCCTTCTTGTTCCTCCAAGTTTGTAATATTTTACATTTCAAAACAGGTCATAATCGACAAGTTAAAGAGATTGTTTCACGGTTCGGCGCATGTGCCGGCTTATCAACTTTATCAGTTAAAAAAAAACCCACTCACAGTGTACTTACAAAACATTTCAACGGATTACACCGAGAATGCCGACATTGAATGCCAGAATAAGTTGCCAGAAGAAATCCTTCGGGCCAACACTTTATTCTGGTATTCAATGTCGACAATTCCGTTGAAATTTTCTGTGAATTTTGGTCATTCGTCGTTTTACTTGGACTAATTATAGTATGTGATTACTGAAGTATCAAGAAGTGCATGTGAGTGGGATTTTTTAAACGGATAAAGTTGATAAGTCCGGGGTGGGGGCCCGGGTACTCCCTATAATGGACTATACGGGGAGGCTCCGCCCGAAAGGGGTCCTTTTTTTTAGGCTCGAGGTATGTGAAAGGGTAGGGATTTCACGAGTTGAAGAATATGAAAGGGTAGGGATTTCACGAGTAAATTATATTATTGTTTGGTTAACATCTGGTAATGCTTGATGATTTCTGGTGATATATATTGTTCATTAAGTTCATTATAAGGGTATAGAAAAGGGATGCAGTGCTTCTACTGTAGGTATGTGAAAGGGGTACCATTTTCATAATTTCTATGGAAGGTATATGAAAGGGGTACCTTTTCTGTGAAAAATGTTATATGAAAGGGTAAGGGGTTGGACCTCTGGGCAAGGCTAAAAACTTTTTTGAGTACCCCCCGGGGGTGGGGGCTAATGCGAACGCGTGAGCGTGAGCCATTTAGGGGCATCCAGGGGCATGCTCCCCCGGGAAAATTGTGAATTAAAGTCCTCTGAATGGCTGGAAATGCATCTAAAATCTAACAAGCGCGGTGCAAATTACCAACTTTCAGCGCTTAAAAAGCGACTGTTTTTAATACAAGAATCAACATTTAAATTCATAGAGCGTTGTCCATTTTTCGAAAAGCAATCAGAGATTTTGGTAGATATTTTCTTTCCAACAGCCAGAAGCCTTCGTTAATTATGCTCATTTTACCATGTGCGCTTCTCTGTTGGTTAAAATCACGCAGAACTCCCGCGTCCCGCGATGTCCAGAGCTGTGTATAATTCTCAGTTTAAAGTAAACATTTTTGATGATATTGTAGATTATTTTCAGACAAAATGAAAACATTTGCTAGAGCTACAAATAACATGAATGAATTTTACTCATAATCAGTCACAACAGTAGAAAATTATCTTTATTACACTGTTCTGTTAGTATTACCACCTGTGTTACATAGAATGTGGATGATTCGGCCCTAAGCCTGGGAGCAGACTCTCCCCAAACACTGAGGACTGAGCCTGGCTACTATCTAGCGAGGCATTCAACATCAAAGTTCATTTTAGGTCAGTCAGGCAAAATTTACAAACCCCTGATCAACCTCGTTCCCAGGGTCTCTCGTCTTCCCGCCCCCTGGAATGAAACAAAAAAAGGAGTAAAAAAGCTACCATGATTGTATTTCAGGCAATGTTACAGAAGAAAATGCACTACCCCCCGAAGTTCCTAGGCGTCGCACGTTGTTATCAAATCTTACTCTTACAAACCCAGCCAAGTCACATCTCAATAGGATATCAATCAGTGGCCCTCAGGATTTCCGTCGAGTTTCTGCAATTGTTGACGTGAGAAGATGAGAAGGGCGGGAAGATGAGAGACCCTGGGAACGAGGTTGACCCCTGATACTCACTTTGGACATTCTTAACCCATATACAGTGGAACCCCGCCTTACGGCCACCCCGTTAATACGGCCACCCCGTTATTACGGCCACTTCATTTTGTTCCACTGTATAAGGGACAGGGGTGGTAATTCTAAATCCAAAAAATAAATATATATCCACCGCTAGAGTTATCCAGGTACCATTCAGGGTATTGAGTCAAAAGTAAAATGACAATATTTAGCTGTCAGAGAAGAAGACATCCAAGCTAATCGTCCTTATCACTAGAAACAAAATTGTGTAAATATCAGTTTTAAAAAGTTTTAGGGGCAAAAATAAATTTGAGACATGCCACTAAAGAAGATTCTCACTGGTACCTTTTAGGGGTTACTTTCAAAATTTCCAACAATCACCCCCTTCACTTTTATATTTGAGTCTTTTAAAGGTTAATCCGAGTAATTGCATTGTGTCAAATATATGGACAACAAAATACAAAATATAGAAACTTTCTGTGGCTAGGTATATTTTGGTATGATTCTATACTATTGGACAGTGATGATAACTGGAATATCCTGCTGTACAAAGAAGCTTATCACATCAAGCGTCTCTGACCATCACTAAACAATGTCTTAAAAGCCAGCAGAGAACTTTGCCTATTCTCCTGAGTATCGTCTTTGTTTGTCTTTTACCACCTCTAGTATTTAAAATCTGCACTCTGTATGTCACTCTAGTCTGAAGATGGTATAGAATCATACCGAAATATAGACACAGAAAGTTTGTATTTTGTTGTCCATATATTTGACACAATGCAATTACTCGGATTAACATTTATTCTTTATGTCCTGAAATTATCAGCGGGAAATGGGATATTTGAGTCTCCCCCGGCAGTTTCCTAGCATTAATAGCCTGCGAGCAAGCTCTCTTGGGGGTCAGGAGAGCTTGCTCGCAGGCTATAGCATTAACAAATTATTATGTTTTTCCTTTGGTTTACTTGAAAAACGGACATGGCAAATCAACATGAGTCCACAAGTTTATACCAATCAACACAAAAACATGAATGACACTTCCATTAGAAGCTTCATTGTATGCATCTTTCAGAAACAACATAGCACAGTCATCAATGGTCTTTCTTGATACCCACGAACAGATATCTGTCCTTGGTACAGGGTTTATTTTGACAAGAAAACAAACCAGTCGGGGGAACAAGTGCCGTTTTTGGCAAATCTGAGTTGAAGTACTCAAAGAGTTTCCAATTTATTGTTATTATCCGATCAAGAAACAGCGCAAGCACTCACGAATACAGTCAACTCTCTATTAACGGACACCTCTATAAGACGAATACCTCTGTAAGACGGACACCTGGCATTGGTCCCTGCGTGCCATCTCTTATAAGCCGGACATCTCTCTAAGACGGACAGTTGGTGCCGGTCACGATGGTGTCCATCTTAGAGAGAGTTGACTGTACTTCGAAAAATGTCATGCCCGTATAGCGCAATGACGATACGTCATGTTGCTTTAATAGCAGCTTCAGGTGCCATCTTGGAGACGGAATTTTGTCATCAACTAGTACTTGTTCCCCAGACTGAAACAGAAATGCTAATTTTTTAAAAACTTAATATATTGGTAAAAAAACTTAATTTAACTAACCATTTATTTTGTATCAAATATACAAATTAATATGAAACAACCTAAAGAATAGCCTATGAATAGGCTCCGCAGTGGGGAAGGAGTGAAAAGAAAACTGCGAGCGACAGCGAACCGTGCGAACCCCTTTCTCTCTCTCCCAGGCTTCGTGCGGGATGCTTTCGCTCGCAGTTTTCTTTTCACCCATTCCCCACCGCGGAGCCTATTCATAGGCTACCTAAAGAGGATGACATGCAATGATTGATACACTAATAAGTATTATACTCATCAATTTGCTTTAGTTATTACAAGAGCTAACAGCATAATAATTACAACAATAGCTAAAAAGATTATACATAACATCTTGCGGGAAGCTTTCTGGTGCTTTTCACCCTAAAGAAACAAAAATAAAATCACATTAAACATTACTCGGCCGCAACCCTGGTCTCAGAGGTTTTCTTTCTTCATCGTTAAAACAATGGTAAAAACTTGAAATATTATAATAATTTCAAGTTTCTTATACATCTAAATAGGCAAAACAAAAATAACAGCAAGGTTACAAAAGTCAATGAGAGTTGAAAAAAACACCTTTTGTCCCGCAACTCTCTGCAACTCTCATTCTAGCTTGGCCGGAGCTTTATACATGTGGCTTTCGAAGCTCATGCTGCTCGCGCCATGCAAAATTCTATACAACTCCCATAATTTAACATTGTCTGTGGCTACGATTTGTTGTAGGGTTTTAAAACATGTTTCAAAATCCTACGACATTTTTGTGTTGTACACGACAATCATAAGCAAAATGTAGGTTTGATTTACACGACACAATTGTGTCATAGGCTTGTCATTTAAGCATGTTGCATGCAACAAAGCTGTAACGTCTAAATCAGCCCTGAAAGCTTTCTTTTGAAAGCCCCATCCCCCTCACCCTAGATAGTAATCCATGACAATTAATTTTAAAAACACAGGAAAACAACAAATAATAATTATTTTCCATTGCAAAATTGCAAAAATGCAAGGTCTCACAAGTTTGACAGTATACTCATTTTCGTGTTCTTTTTATGGGGATCCATATTGAGTTCCAGATTTGGGTTCCAGAAGGGGGTCTAGGTTAACTTTTCGGTACAGACTACTAAGGGATCCAGAAAAGGGTCCAAATTTGGAGTCCAGAATGGGGGTCCAGGGTGCATATTTCAAGTTACGGGTAATTTTCCACTGGCTGAGTGAAACGAAAAAAGTGGAAAATGTTTTTCTCACACACCGCTGGAGCCTGGGTATAGGTCATGTGACCGGTGAGGCGGGCAGTTGTTTTTGTTGCGTCCGCCATTACTGACCTTCCCACCCACCCACCCACCCAAAGAATTTCAGTAGTATTTTGTTGTATTTTTTAATTTCGGCGTTATACAATGTAACTAATGTACAAAGCTTGTAATTTTGGAGGCTTCCCAGTTTTAGCGTGATATGTGTATAGTTTTTGATTTTACAATAAAGGTCAGGCTTGCGGCGGTCGGCTTGACATGGCTACCAGTGGTGTGTGAGAAACTATTCTTTACTGACCTTTCTAAGTTGTTCCAAGCCTTCTTCCACTTTAACAGCTGCTTGTTCTACATTGTAATCTATTCTATCCA